GCCAGAGAGGAGGCTGCAAAGGGACCCCCCCCCTTTTCGGGCAGGGTGGCTTTGAGTGCGCTTTTTGGTGTCAATTTTGTTTACCATTTTAGTTTGCCATTTGTTTGATTCTTTGGAAATGTTTGTATATTTCCTGTTTTTAGCTTTTAAATATTGTATTTTGCTGGTTTAAGCCACCTTGGGTCAAAAAAACACACACATTTCAAATAAATAAATAAAATAGATTCAAATAAAGATACAGATATAGACCAAAGGCCCACCTGGGTTTGGCTGTTCAGACATAACCCAAATGAGCAGAGGGTGGAGATGCCTTATTCAATATTTGCTCAAGGAGGGCCTGTGTGTGTGTGTGAGTGAGAGAGAGAGAGAGAGAGAGAAAATGGGGGGGGGGAGCTGGAGGCTGCTGGGATCCTCACCTTTTGTGTCAACTGCTCTGGGTGCCCCCCCGTCTTGTCAGCCTGGCCTGGGCGGAAGGAGGGCCTGTTTCCCTCCCAAGGAGGCAACCAGGTCCACAGCTTTTGAGGGCCTGCGAGGGATGTTCCTAAGGGGACGGACCCTCGAGTGGGAAGGCTGGAGGAAGGCCCATGTGGGGGGGGGACACCTGACCCACCTGCTTCTCACGGGCCTGGAGGGGGCCAAGGGGTCGAGCCTCTCACTGCCAGGGGTCTTGAGTTTGGCTGGGCTGCGCATGCGCGCAGGAGGTCACTGCCAGCCGAAGCCGCCAAAAATGCAGGCGGGTGGCAGAGAAAAGAGGATGCCTTCCAAAACCCAGGTGGTGGTGCTTCCGACGGGGGCGTTAAACGGCTTTCCTCCTTCTTATGTCCTTTCTCTTCGCCCCCCCCCCCCCCCTNCAGGCTGCCATTTAAGGTCTCACTATGTCTAATGGGGACTACGATTACCTCATCAAGTTCCTAGCCCTGGGAGATTCAGGGGTCGGGAAGACCAGTTTCCTCTACCAGTACACGGATGGGAAGTTCAATTCCAAATTCATAACGACTGTCGGGATCGACTTCCGAGAAAAGAGGGTGGTGAGTCTCTTGCCCCGTGTACGTTCGTCACTCGTGTTCACCTGTGGTCAGAGGTGGGCAATCGTTCTGGGGATTGTCGGGGGGAGGAAGCAGAAGTGTTCCCCACCTCGGGCTCTGATTGCCTTCGAGAGAAGATGGCTTGTAGGAACGATGCCGTTTCGTGGCTTACACAACGCCCAGCTTCAAGTGCCTTTTCCAAAATGCCCTTTCCTTTTTTTAACTCCCCAGCTTGCAAAAGGCTGCTTCTGGGGCTGCCTGATTACCCTAAGCGTCCCCATCCTGTTTGGGAGGAATCAGCCTGGCCTCTGCAGCCGAGAGGGAAGAGGCAGGCGGTACAAATCCTGTTAAAGCAAAGGCGGCAGCTGGCAGCGGGAAAGGGGCCGGCTGGGTTAGCTCAGGGCCCCTTCCTCCTCCAGAAGCAGCTGCGGAAGCCGCCTCGTGAACCTCGCTTTCCCGCTTTCCAATCCCGTCCATTGCCTCTTATTTAAATATCAGGCTTACTCCGGCAGCTTGGTTTTTCACATGAATATCCCCTTCCGACCTATAATTGCGACCTGTTATGAGATTGGGCTGAAGCGGAGCAGGGCTGTTTGAGGCCCCCCCTCTGCCCTGAGCAGCCACCAAACAGCTGGAGCCCCTTCGTTCTCCCGTTGTCCTTTCGATCATTTCGCTTTGCCTCTGTGCTGTCAGAACACACGCCACACCTTTGGGATGGGCTTGTGGGCACCGCAGAGCCTTCTGTGTGCCTTGGAAAAGGTGGTGGTGGTGGGCCCAAAGGGGAGCCCCACCACCCCCACCCCACCCCCATCGCCAGGGGCTGGAGGCCTGAAGAAACAGGCCCAAATGGGCTGCGTGGGGCCCCAGAGCAGGGGATGGCCGCTTGCGTTATCGCCCATAAAATGAAGACCTAAAGCGGGCAGCCAGTCAGTCTGCAGCCCTGAGCACACGCCGATGGATGTGGGCAAAGGCAAAGGGAGGCTGGACAGGACACTTCCCCTGACTGGACAGACACACACACTCCAGCCGCGGTGCCTCCTGGTGCTGGCCGGGTGCCACTCAGTGGAGACGGGCCCCTAAAGGGCTTCTGCTGCCCACCCGCCGGGTTCTCCCTCCCTAGAACGAAACACCAACGAGAAGTCCCTTTCCAGCGGGCGAATTTCCTTCCAAGGGAAGGGTGCCCTCCCTGAAAAGGGGGCATGTGCTCCCCCCCCACCTTGGAAAGATGCCCTCCGCTTTGGAGCAGGGCGGGGAAGTGGGCTCGCCTCTCCTACGGGGCTTCAGGGCAAGCCTTCCTGAGCCAGTTTGGAGGGCAGGGGGTGTGGGGTGGGTGTTCCTGCAGAAAGAGGAACGAAGGGGCTGGGCTGGCGTCCTGCCAGGTCACCAAGTCCTCTTCCCGACAGGTGTACCGACCCAACGGACCAGATGGCATGAGCACGCGCGGGCAGAGGATCCATCTCCAGCTGTGGGACACGGCAGGGCAAGAAAGGTACTGGGAGGACTGGGGGGGGCACGTAGGGACAGGATTTGCAAGACAGAAGGAATGAACCCCTGGCATCTCAGGAGAGGAGCTGTTCTCAGTGAAGGGGGCCGAGGTGGTGGGGAGGAGGGAGGGAGGGAGGGAGAGGGACCAAAGCCTCGGTTGGTTTCTCTCGGAGAGGTCCCGGGGAAAGGCTGATCTCGGCTCCCTCCTATCTTGGGGCCTCTCGAAGTTTTGATCTTTGGTGGATGGCCGGCCGGCCGGCCAAAGGGGCCTTGCTGAGCAACGGCTGAGAGTCAGGAGGCCTCCGGGGGCCCCTTCTGGTTTGCTCAGATTACTGTAGGCTTGGCCTGTCTTAATTAAATCCCCCTTCTGACTCCTTTGATATCAGTGGCAAAGTATTTCCATCTGAATTCTTGCACTGTTGGTCTATCCTGACCTTGTGCTAAAATGAAGTAAGATTAAGGTGGAATCTGGGCTGGTGAATAGTGAAGTTTGAATCTGGATATTGCAAGATGAATAGAATGGATGTTAGTATATTTTTGTTTCTCCCCCCCCCAACCCCAACCCTTTTTTCCCCTTTTAACTTCTCTATCCTACACCCCAACCCAAGTTATCCTAACAACAACAACAACAACAACAACAACAACAACAACAACAACAACAACAACAACAACAACAACAAGAAGGTGGAATCTGGAATGGTGCAGGCATTTCGGTATCCCTTCCCTTCTGGAAGGCTGCCGATGGCTCAGCTGAGCCCGGCAAGAGGGGCCCAACCGCTGCTTCGCCTTGTGTTTCCGCAGGTTTCGTAGCCTGACCACGGCCTTCTTCAGGGACGCCATGGGCTTTCTCCTCCTTTTTGATCTGACCAACGAGCAAAGCTTCCTCAATGTCCGAAACTGGATGAGTAAGTCTCTTCCCGTCCCTCGCCTTTCTGTTGCAGAAGACTTGAGTGAGGGGGAGGACAAGGAGACACCCACGATCCATCTGGGCAAGCACCTGCCTTTGGCCCTGAGGAGGGGCTGCCTTCCTCGGGGAAGTGAAGAGGATGGAACGTGGGACCTGGGTGGGAAGGGAGGCCATGGTCTCCCATCAGAGGACAGGCTGCGGGGCCAGTGGAGAAAGCAGTGGAGGGCAAGAGGGCTGCAGGGAGCAAAGCGGCGGTGGGGGTGGGGGGGGAATAGACTCAAGAGTTTGGGAGGGACCCCCAGGTGATTTGCAGGCTTCTGTGGGAGCCACACAACCCCCCACACACACACATACCTCCCCCCGAACTTGGGTTGCCTCTCTCCATGTTGCAAGCCACCCCCAGCCTTTTCCTTTCCTCGCCAGGCCAGTTGCAAACGCACGCCTATTGCGAAAACCCTGATGTGGTTCTGTGTGGAAACAAAAGCGACCTGGAAGAGCAGCGGGTGGTGAAAGAGGAGGAGGCGAAGGGGCTGGCAGAAAAACATGGGCAAGTAACGGCCTTCTCTCTCCACGTCTTGGCATGCTTCCTACAGGGGCGACCCAGCCAGCCTGGCATTGGGCGCAGCCTGGCATCTGGAGGCCCTTTCCAAGGAGCTTGGCACAAGGGCTGCCCTTGTCCATGGGTGGTACTCAGGGGGGCACTGGTTTGTATTTTTGGACTGCAACCCCCAGAATTCCCCAGGAATGCCCCAGGCAGAAATCTGGGAGAGGCAGTCCAGAAATACCTACCACTGTTGGTGTCTTCTCCTCAAACTATATCTGCTGTACTTCCAAAAACAAGGAAGGTGCTGCGGCGCTACCTGGGAGCTGTAGGCCTTCCTGGGAGTCATAGTTCTTCAGAAGGCATCCTTTTGAGAGAGCCTGGTGGCGACAGTGGAAGACAGGAGGGGGCCTGGCGTGCTCTGGTCCATGGGGTCGCAAAGAGTCGGACACGACTTAAGGACTAAACAACAACAACAAAGGCGACAGCTGCCAGCATTCTCTGCGCCCAGCAGGGCCTGCCCCCTGCTGGCGGGCCATGGGACTCCACCTGTTATTTGCCAGCGTCCAGAGAGGCCGGAGCCCTCTTACCCTTTTGCAGAAAGCCAGGCAGGAATCTTCGGACACTTGCAAGTCCTGCCCATTTCGGCCAGCGTGAGCTTCCCTGGACAGTGGACACCTTCGCAGAGGCAGGACACGTCCCTGAAGTGGGTGGCTTGGTACACACATGCAAACAAAGAGGAGCGCTTTACACCTGACGTTGTGGGTTGCAGTCCACAATAACTTGTGCCCCAAGAGCCTTTGGGGGTTGGCCACCCTCGAGGACCGCTGTGGCCCTTTCCGTGGCTACAATTCCGCTACTTGCTGCATCCGTGAAGGAAAGCGACTCCTTGAGAGTTGTCTTTCCAAGGAAGGCTGTGATCATCGATGTCAAGTGGCTTCTGGTCCCACCTTCCTTCCCCAAATGTTATTTTGGAATACTGCAGCTACTTAGCACGCCATGGGGGTAACGCTCTCGGATGTCTCCTTTCTAGGATCCCTTATTTTGAGACGAGCGCAGCCAACGGGACCAATGTAAGCAAGGCCATTGAGACGCTTCTGGACCTCATCATGAAGCGCATGGAACGGTGTGTGGACAAGTCCTGGATCCCGGAAGGGGTAGTACAGTCCAATGGGCACAGCTCTACCGAGCAGCTGAATGAGCAGAAAGATAAAAGCAAGTGCAGTTGTTGAGGAAACAGACTGGATTTCAGCATGGGAATTAAGCTGTCGTGTTATTACAGTTGAAGGTTGATTTGCCTCATTTCTGGACTGCTCCTGCCTGCTTTTACACGTAGAAATAGATGTGCGAGAAAAGCTCTGTTAAACCTCAACTTCAATGTTTATTCTCAAATGACACACACTGGGGCTTTGCAACCATTTCCTCTTCCTGGCCATTAACAGAAGATCAATGGGAAGGGCTGACAGAATTACTGCTCTGTCTAGGTTTTCGAGACTCTCCACCCTGTGGCAGCCCCTCTTCTCCACTGGGACCAAATTCTTTTACTGCAGCCACAACATTAAAACCGAGGTGGGGGAAGGTGGGTATGCAGCAAACATAGTCTGAATGATTAAGAAATACATTCAGCTCTCAGCCACCGCCTGGAAACCAAGTCCTAGTAAGAGAGGGCTTCGGGCAGGCCACCAGCCTGGCCCTCCTTCACAGCAACCAGCATCTGCCTCAGTTAAGAGCTGTTCTTGCCTGATCCCCAGGGCTGCTCGCTCCCCCTTGGTCAACGGGGTAAGAGGGATGGCGTGCAGAGCAACACAGAGGTGTCATGTGTAAACTTTCTTTTTTGACAGGAATGCAAGGCAAGCTAATGCTTTGCGCTAAATTTCTTTGTCTCAAGTGTACCTTTGGAAAACATCCTTCAGTCGGAGCGAAAATGTCTTACTGACTCTGCCCTGGTGAGGCCTGACTTTGTGCATTAACCTCCTGGCTCAGTTTCACCTGCTCCCTCTCTGTGCATTGTTCTGTTTGTTCCCAGAGAATTCTACATCCTTTCTTGTGATCGCTCAAACTGTTTGCTTTTGCTTATTGTCCTCCAAACCTTTGGATCAGCTTGTTTCCAGGAGCAGCTTCTCTCGGTCTTAAAGGGCTCACACTCTGTTGGTGCGCATGCAAAGGGAGGCTTGGGGTCACTGCTGCCATAATGTGCCAAAACAATTATTGTACCTCTCTGAGCAGCTGATTTCCACAATGCAGCTAGATTTACACACCTTGCCTTTAGTGGGCTCCTTTGATGGCCGTTCACCCACAAGCTTTAGTCTGGGCCTGAGCCAGAAAGAAGCTAAAGGCAAGTGCAGGTGCGCCCAGGGTCCCAGGCCTGCCAGGAGAACCTGCATGACGCCCTCCCTCCCTGCCCCCTGTGCCACTTCAACAGCCCCAGGCAGTCAGCCCCACAGTTATAGCCAGGCTGTGTCTGAAAAGGGGTTGACCGTTCAGCAACCCTCTTTTAGAACTATGGAACTGGCTGCAAGAAATGAGGGTTCCCCGAGTGACAGCGTTCTTCATTGGACTATACCTCCCATCACCCACTGCCCACTCTTTCTGGCTGGGGGGAGTCGGGAGCTATAGTCCAACACACGCAGAGGGCAACAGGTTAGGGAAGGCTGCAGTAAACCCCCCAGGAAGCCCTTGGGCATTTGGGTGCTGTGCTTTGGCGGCCTCTTCCCCAAGAGGTCTGCAAACCTCCTGCAAAGGATCTACCAAACCGTGCTGGGTCTGGCCCACAACAGGCCGTGGGGCGTTTGGCAACCTGATCCCACCATCATCCTTCATTTTTGAGGATACAGGAACAGCTGACGGGACTGCAATTGCAATAATTCCCTGGTAGCTGACAAGAGACCTTATGTGCCAACTGGATTCTGCATCAAAGGCCGAAATGGGCCATTCCCCCAAAGCAACCTTTCTCTGAGGCGTGAGAGCCACTGGCTGTATGAACCGTCCCGGAAAGGGGAGGGGAGCTGCCAGTCCTCCGGGGACGCTCCCCCGGGTGGCTTGTCACAGCCAGGGCCGACCTGCCCGCTCCCTCCTGACAGACGGGCACCCGAGCACCCAGTCACTGATGGCAGGACAGGCCGAAAGCTTTGGCAAAGGGCACCTGGCTCCTGACGGCGTCCTCGGGGGGCTGCCACCAGGGAGAAGCCACGGGCGGGCGGCCAGCCCTGGAGGGACCGGGGCCAAGGCGTGTTTAGAAAGGATTGGGGACACAGCTTTGCTCTCGCTCCTGGAAGATGTGCCGCTGGGTCTGCTTCATAAAAGGCGAAGAGAGGCCTGGAAGGGCGGCTCCAGGGGCAATTCTGTGCCAAAACTGCAGCCAAGGCCCCTTTCTTTCCCCTTCCACGGGGAACGTGCTTCAGATGCGATGTTGAAGGTGGAGAGCGCCCTGTTTTTCGACCAGCATGTTGTGTTTTATTTACAGACCTGTAAAACTGGGGAAATTCTCTTTCTGTGGCCACAGCAAGGTGTCTTTATTAAAAACGAATTGCAGCCCCTTCCCGGTGTCTTCGTGCTCAGTGAGACAACGCAAATTCCATTGCTTTTGGAAAATCTGCTCTAACATGGACAAAGAATTGAATTTAGGCCCTTGGTTTTATGCATACCTTATACTGTTAGTTAGTTTGTTTGTTAGTTTGTTAGTTAGTTGGTTGGTTGGTTGGTTGGTTAGCCACCTTTTTCCTGGTGTGGGGACCCAAGGTGGCTCTCAATGTAAAAAAAAAAAAAAAAAAAAAAATACTAAAAGTACAATAAATTAAAGATAAAAAATGCAATTAAACATGCACTGCATACCACTTTGAAATTTACTTCAAATGTAAGGGATTCATTGATGTCTGTAAATAAAGTGCTGGCAATAAGTCTTTGTTCTTGAGTGAAATGCTGTGCCAAGCTGTATTTTGATTGCTGGAACAGTTCTGAAAATACTGAACATGAAATAGAGGTATGAATACAGTATTCACAAGATTGCTTTCACCTCTCTTTATATGTGTCCCATTAAACCATTCTTCACAGTGGAGAAAACTTCTGTTATTTACACCACCTTTGAAATTTTGGTGAGTGCCACATTTTAAGGCAGCTGCATTAAATGCCTGAAAGCCTACAACCGCAGTAGCTGGAGAATATTCATACCCACCTGTGATCGTAGCAGAGGTTCTCCCGCAAGCTGCCGTTCACACGTGTCGCGTCCCGCGTGGGCTCGTCCTCCAGCAGCCGCGTCCTCCCCGCACGCCCCCACGAATGCTGTCCACTCTGCGCGTGCTCAGCCCGGGACTCTCTTGAGGCCTCCTCGCCGCCAGAGGGCGCGGCGCTTGACTGGCGCAAGAGGGGGGCTGGAGCCGCTCTAGGCGAGGCGCGGGAGCAACGAGAGGGAAGCTTTTTTCCGTTCCCTCCCTTCCCTTCTTCCGGTGCGGTCGCCCCCTCTCTCTCTCTCTGTTCCGGCCCCGACCCCGGCCGCGGCCATGCGGGTGGAGAAGTGCTACTTCTGCTCGAGCCCGGTCTACCCGGGCCACGGGGTCCTCTTCGTCCGCAACGACTGCAAGGTCCGCCGGAGGGAGGGACCAGGCAGAGGTAAGTCCCACACATCCCTTCCGATGGCCGGACAACAGTAGGCAATAAGAAAGACAAAGGTCTTTTCCCAGGCTGTATAAAGTTCCTCTGCAAAAAGAGGAAATTCCTAAATAGTATTAAATATATCAACAGGGACTTTCTTTCCAATTGCAGATTTCTGCCCTCTTGTACTGTTTCTATTGTATGTTGTAATGTCAGATTCAAATTATGTTGACCTGAAGGATGTTCCTTCATTTGGTGTCTTCTAGATGTGTTAGAGCACTGTGACATGGTCAAGAAGGCATCTTGATCTAGGCTGACTCCCATTCCCCGCCCCCCCCCAGTTTATGGAAGGATTCTGGTGGCTCCACTATTGCAGTGAGGTAGCCTCGGGAGAAGAAGATGAGCCCAGCTCATCATCTAAAAGGATCAGCCCTCCTGCTACTCCAGGCAGCACCATATCTGCAAGTATGCAGGGAGATCAGCCACACAAAGGAGATGAGAGACAACCACTGCTTCTAGATCATCAAGGAGGGATCAGATGAGAAGGTATCCCTTCAGGGGTGGAGGGGACGCTCCTGAGGAAGAGGGGGGTGGTCAGGTCCGCCAGGCCAGGCTCCCGGTCGGTGGGTCGGTCGTGGCTTCGGAAGGGCTGAACCAGGTAAGGTGGGGTGGGGTGGGGGGCACCTCCTCTTTGGAAGCATCTGCCGGCAACTGCAGGTGGTGGTCATCCGCCCGCTTTTCTCCACGTACGTAGGACAATTCGTTTGAATTTGAGAAGCGAAGAAATGAACCCGTGAAATATCAGCGAGAGCTTTGGAACAAGACAGGTATGCGGACTCCTCCTAGGTGGACGGGCAGAGGGGTTTGGCGTGGCTGGCGGGAGGGAGGGAGGGAGGAAGAAGAGGACCCCCCCTCGCCTTTTCTTCTTCTTCGGAGCATCAGCCTTCCCAACTGCCAAAGGCCCTCCCTCGGCGTTTGTCTGAGCAGCAGAGCCTCCGAAGTGCTTTCCCAGCCACTTGGGGGGCCAAAGAACAGGGCGGAAAAGAGGGCAGCGGGAAAGCCTGGGTGGTTTTTTTTTTCTTCCACTCCTGGAAGCTGCCGGGGCTTTTGCTTTCCTCTGCAAAGGAGTGACCCCTTTGCATGCTAGGAAGGCAGCCGCGTCGTTTGTGGTGGACTCGGCCATTTGTGGCTGTTTCTGCTGCCCGGATGCCTTACGGGTGAAATATACACAGACAAACCACAATTGGCAAGTGCACGGTTGTTGGTAGTTCTGTGTAGAGCAATCTCAGCTGCCTCCTTTTCCTAAGCAGTAAAGTTCCTGTCAACGCCGTGGGCGGCAGCTCAGCCTCCATGTAGCCGCCAGGGTGTCTCACTGGGGCAGAGAGCTCTCTGTGTGATGGATGGGCAGCCCTTCTCTTCCAGGGCTCCCGAGGGCAGGAGCCCCTCGGCCAGCGTTCTAGTGAGCACACAGACCTGGGGGTGGAGTTCCCGCCATAATCCTGCATCCCACCCCCAACCACTTTCCAAATAGGGCAAAAACATCTGTGTCGGGAAGCAGAGTGCAGTTTTGCTGAAACTTGGTACAAGAGCCCACAAAGCGATGGTCCCCATCGGACAGAGGACGGAGCAGGGCTAAGACATCTCTGCTGGCTTTGTGCCTGAGGGGAGATGGGGATCAGTGATGGCCTGGTTCTCTTCACTGCGCCCACTTTTTGTAGATAGTTCACGCTTTTTAACATCGAGGGCTGATGCCTGAAAAAAATTCCATTGAAAAGAAGTTAATTTTTAACTTAACAATGCCTGGTTTTGTTTTTCCTTTTTTTTTTTAGTTGACGCCATGAAGAGGGTAGAGGAGATCAAACGAAAGCGTCAAGCCACTTTCATTATGAACAGGTATGTTTTCTTCTTCAGGAGAGGGCACGCTCTTTTGTGCCTGATGTTGGAATAAACATGTTTCTCTCCCCTCAAACGCCCCCAGGCTAAAGAAGGGGAAGGAACTGCAGAAAGCACAAGACATTACGGAAGTCAAGCAGAACATCCACCTCATCCGGGCTCCACAGGCAGGTGAGACACATGTGGTTGTGGGTGACTTCTCGAGCAGTGTGGTGTGAAATGGGGTGTCGGGGTGTGGTGTAGGAGGGCCTGCTGCAGGGCTGCCAGAAGTGAGTGATTAAAAATGTTACCCTTCCTTTTTCTTCTCTTCTTTTTTCAAAATGTAAAGTCAAAGGCAAACAGTTGGAGGAGAAGATGGTCCAGCAGCTGCAGGACACCATGGAAACCGAAGATTCTTCCTAGAGCGCTTCTTTCTCAGGGTTGTGATTCACAGAAGCAAGTTCTTTTGTTGTTGTGTAAAGGTGTGTCCCCATCTGTAAAATGCCAGCTGTTGCTTGTATCTTTTGCGTTATAGTTTCAACAGGCCGCTCAGTTGATGCTTTCTAAGGAGTCATTTGTTGCACTGTGTCCAGAAGCAAAAAAAAAGTATAGGGAGTAAAACAGCCGGCAGAAAGAGGATGGTTTTGTACAGGGTTTCTGTGTATCTCTGGTGTTTATAGGCAGGGAGGTGAATGGTATCTCAAATAAAGCACTGTATAAAAAAGCAATGTTGTACCTGAAATTTAGTTGTTAATTCTGATGAGCTGATTGTTCAAGATGGTAATGGTCTAAGAAGCATTCCCTTCTGTATTTTTGTTCAGAACTTGTTGTTTAGTTGTTAAGTTGTGACCGACTCTTCGTGACCCCATGGACCCTCAAGCACGCCAGGCCCCTCCTGTCTTTCACTGCCTCCTGGAGTTGGGTCAAATCCATGTTGCTCGCTTCGATGACCCTGTCCAGCCATCTCGTCCTCTGTCATCCCCTTCTCCTCTTGCCGTCACACTTTCCCAACATCAGGGTCTTTTCCAGGGAGTCTTCTTTTCTCATGACATGGCCAAAGTATTGGAGCCCCAGCTTCAGGATCTGTCCTTCCAGGGAGCACTCAGGGCTGATTTCCTTCAGAATGAATGTATAGATTTGTTCTCCTTGCAGTCCAGGGGACTCTCAAGAGCCTCCTCCAGCACCACAATTCGAAAGCATCAATTCTTCGGC